GCAAACTATAAATGTTTAGTGTTTCAAACCAGATAAATAGATATATAAATAGACAAATAACAAGCTGGATGCAGTGGCGTGTGCCTGTAGTCCTAGCTACTTGGGAGACTGAGGCCAGAGGGTCACTTGAGCTTAGGAGTTTGAGGCTACAGTCAGCCACTGTACCCCAGCCTGGGTGACAGAGTGAGACCCCATCTCTAAAAAAAAAAATTAAAAAATTAAAAATACTAGAAGTACTTTGCTTTCTTTCAGTGATTTGGGGACAAACATATTAGTAAATAACAAAATATATTAAGAAATAAAATATTTGTATTCATAGCTCTAGTATATGCTTTTGTACTTCATTTTAGACATAAAACTATTAAGTAAGGCTTTTTATGGGAGATTGCTTAATTACATAAATCACCATGCAATGCTGGCAGAGTACTCTAAATTATAGTTTTGGGGATGTAATGGTGACTGTGAAACTGGGAGGCTCTGTCATGCTTTTCCGTACGGAAAACATTACTTGCAAGAGAACCTTACTTTTGACTGGTCAGCTGTACTGAAGTTTTGGCTGACATTCAGACCTTCACAAACGGGTAGTGAATGTGTAGGCAATAAGCCTTTTTTTGGGTGATCTTAAAAGGTGAAATTTTAATTACTCAAATGTGCTTGCAAATGTAAAATAATCTTAAAAATTATATATGAAATTATATCATTAAATTATAAAAATTTTCCTTTTCTAATTGAGGGGAGGATATTTTAATAGGTATATATTTACAATTCTAAACTATATTGAATAAAATAAGGATATATAGATTACTGTTCATGATTTTATCTAGTTCACTTTTACTATGTAATTTGTGTTTTTATTTACACTTCGATATATTATATATAAAATATATAATTATTTTTTAAAAGTTTGTGGTTCAAATTCATGCTATGTTCTGAAAAGCCTTACGCAGAGAATTTAAAGTGATCTCAAGTTGGTAGTGCCACCAGGTGCCTAGCAAAAACAAGAGTACCTTCTCCAAACATGCCGCTATTTCAATCTTTAAAACCAAACTTTCTCTTGCCCATACTTCCCCTAGGAGTTACCATTCCATTTATCTGGCCCTTGTGTACTAGAAGTACTATAAGGAATTGCCTCTACTTGTTCTTGCCAATTACTCTTCCAGACTCTTTGAAACCCATTCAAATCTGCTCCAAGTAAACTTCTGCTCCTAGCACTCTGTGGATGGCAACTTCATCCTTCCAGTTGCTCAGACCAGAAACCTTGGAATTATCTTTGACTCCTCTTCTCCTCATACCCAATATCCTATCCTTTGGATAATCCTCTTCGCTTTACTTCTAAATTATATCCAGAATCTGTCCACTTCTCACACTCTCTACTGCTACCACCCTGGTCTGAGCCACCAGCATCCTGCCTGCCTAGTTTACAGTAATAACCTCCTCACTGGCCTTCCTGGATCTGGGACAGTCTCTTCTCAACAAAGTAGCTCCAGTGATTCTTTTGAAATGTAAATTATATTCCATTACTCTTCTTCTCAAAATGATTCCACATTTCATTTAGGAGTGAAAGTCAAAGTCCTTACAATAACTTGAAGGCCTTACATAATCTGAACCACCTCATCTCATTCTTTACTACTTACTCCTTTGCTTGCTCGGTTCCAGCCACGCTGGTCTCCTTGCTGTTCTCCCAACAGGAAAGCTCCTGCCCTAGGACCTTTCTAGTGGCTGTATGGAGTGCTTACCTCTCCCTGGGTGTCTGTATCTGTTGCAAATCGTTACTCAATGAGGCCTATCCTGACCACTCTATTTAAAATGACAACAAATCTACCCTATATTCTTATCTTTCATTCCCTCATTTTTCTCCCCATAGCAGTCATCACCTTTTAACAAATTTAGGTTATTAAGTATGAAATGTCCGATTTCCTTAAGTACTAAGTTTGACAATTGATATCATTGACATTTCACTTTGAAATTTCTTATTTTTATCGTAAAGGTACACTCTCAGTCTTTTAAACACACATTTTGGCTTGTAATTATCTTTCGATTTGTTTTAGAGCAATTTTTGTGAAACTATGGATAAGTCAAAAGTTCATATTATTTTCGAATATGAATTCTGTCTTGGAACCAATGCAGCACTGACAGCTTGAAATATCAACGAAATGTTTGGAAAGGATGTGGTTAATGAATGCACAGTACTTCGATGGTTTGAGAAGTTCCATTCTGGTGATTTTAATCTTGAAAATGAGCCATGTGTGGGACCTGAGACCATGGTGGATAATAATGAGCTGAAAGCTGTAGTGGAAGCGAATTCATCTCAACCTACAACATGAATTAGCAGCAAGGTTTGATGTTACTATTCCAAAAATATTGGAACATTTGAAACAAACTGGCAAGGTAAAGAAGCTGGATAGATGGGTTCCACATGAATTAAATGAGCAACAATAGAGAAACTGTCTAGAAGCTTGCCTTTCTTTGCTGTCTTTGACATAAAGGCAAAACATTTCTACACCATATTGTAACATGTGATGAAAAATGGATTCTTTTTGACAACTGCAAGTGTTCCGCACAATGGTTGGCTAAAGATGAAGTGCTGAAACACAGTCCAAAACTGAATATTCATCAAAAAAGGCTAATGGTGTCTGCTTGGTGGTTCAGCGCGGGTATTATCTACCACAGCTTCATGAAATCCAGTCAGTCAATTATAGCTGATGTCTACTGCAACCAACTGAACGAAATGATGACGATGCTTGGGATGAAGCAGCTGAGATTGGTCAACAGAGACAGGCCAATCCCCTCGCAAGACAACACTTGATCACATGTCACACAAATAATGCTGCTCAAATTACAGAACCTGGACTTGGAAGCTCTCTGGCATCCACCATATTCACCAGCCCTTGCACCAACTGACTACCACTTCTTCCAGGCTTTGGATCACTTCTTGCAAGGAAAAATATTCAATTTTCAACAAGCTGTGGAAAATGCCTTTTGTGATTTCATCATCATTTGCTCTCTAGGCTTCTTTGCTGTTGGCATAAATGAGATGCCGTGAAGATGGCAAAACTGTTGATAGCTTAGGCGCATACTTTGATTAAGTGTGCTGCTACTTGTTTGAGATATAATAAACTTTTGATTTGAAATTGGACATTTCATATTCAATGACCTAATAGAATAACAACTATTTCAAGAAATGTTTGTTTCAGTTATGTGTGAGTACTCATATGTACTTGGTTCTAAAGTATAATGTATTTCGTACTATCAGTCCCTGCCGAAAATATTAGAAAAAATTACTATAGAGAACATTCTGTATGCACTCATCAGTTGACATGCACAAAATACTTCACAATAGCATTGTTAGAGTAAAAGCTGGAAATTACCCAAATGTCAAGAGGTAGTAGAATGGATACATAAATGTAGTATATTAAACAATGGCATACTATACAATTGAGTGAATGAAGAATTCAGTACCTTTTATGTGGGTGAATCCAAAAGCAATGTTGAAGGAAGCAAATTACTAGAGAATACATATACTATTCCATAAATAAAGTTTGAAATTGAACAAAACAAGATATTGCTTAGTGATATACATACACATGTGGTAAAACTATAAAGAAAAACAAGGACAGGTGATATAAAATTCAGAAAAATATTGACTAAAGGTTTAGGGAACTGAAAGCTTTCTCATTATTTCCCAAATTAATGCCGCTCAAGATAGTATCATGTCTGTTTCCTGATCTTACCCTCTATCCCAGCTCCTAGAGTAGTGTTTGGCACCTGGTTATTTTATTTATTTTTAAGAGACTGAGCCAGGTGTGGTGGCTAGTGCCTGTAATCCCAACTATTCAAGAGGCTGACAAGGGAGTGCCAACCCAAATAAATGACTTAGGCAAAAGTCTCAAAGGAGGTTTTTTTAAACCAGGATTATGAGGACACGCCTGGGAAAAACAGGAACTGCAGACAAGCTGTGGCTGTTTTTCCAAAGGGAAGGTTGAAACCTTCAGCATTTTAAAGGAGAGAAGAGATAAAATACAGAGAGAAGAATAAAAGGGGTGGGGGGGAGTTATGATGTACTGGCTACATTCTTCTGAGGTCCAAGAAATCTACATTTTTACATAAAATAAAGGAGTGAAGGACGTATCGATTATGTAGATGTCCCAGGGTAGGTGAAGAATATCTGATTCTGCCATGTCTCCCGTTCTGTTACCTGTAAGATAAACTTGTAATTCATTATTAATGTGGACTCAGATTGTCTTTAGTTTTAGGAGCCAGACATAGGTACAATCTGCACGTCCTTGCTTATGGGAGGTTAGCAAGAAATTTCCTTAATGAATGATCTGTGTGGGGCCAGTTCTTCACAGGTGTTTGAGACTGTGATTTTCTTTTTACAGGAAGATCCCTTGAACCCAGCAGTGCAAGGCCAGCCTGGACACCATAGCGAGACCCCATCTCTAGGTGGGAAAAAAAAAGCACCGAATTGTCTAATCATTTGTATGAACTGTGTAAAATATATATCCTAAATAAGGGGTAATTTTGAAGGTTAGCGCCTGGCCGCTGCAACCATAGAGTTAGTTCATTAACTATTTGCTGAATAAAAAAACGCACTTTGACATACGTTAGTTCATTTCAGCATTTCTCATTTTAGTCCAAATTCTTATCGTGGCTTCGGTTCAATCCCCGCCCCACCCCCTACCCATCTCACAGGCTCTAAAGTCGCTGGGCTTCTCGTTTCCAAGGCCCAGAGGTAGTTTTCTCCCCGTCTCTGCGCAGAGTAAACCGAGTAAAGGGATCAGGACAAAGGCGCTTCCTAGGCACCCAGTCCTGTGAAGATGATTAGGTTAGCGTTGTCGCAACTGACTCCACTAGACCCAAAGCCCTAGGTAAAGCACAGGGCTAAGATAACGTCGCAGGTCAGCCAAATCCGCTGGCTACCGCCCACCTGCGGTGACGTCACGGCCTCGCCGAACTCCTGATTGGAGGCTCTGTATTCGGTCAATTCCCGCGATGATTTCTCCTCCGGTCCCCTGCCTCCCTCGCTGTGCCCTGACCCGGTAGTGCACTGCAGACCGAGTTGCGAGCCACGGAGACGCCGTAGGGCGACACCAGCTTCCGGCACTCGTCCAGACGACTGCGACTCTTCTCAGACGCCCACGGGCACGAGGTTTGGCTCCCAGGAGTTCTGTTTGCCAGACCCGCGGTAGCGCGTGACTCTCCTCCACTTGGCTTGTCCAGTTTGCTTGGGCCGCCTGGCGAGTCACACCAATGCTCATCTTTTAGTATTGCCACTTTTCATCTGTCATTCCTCTGGCCCCACGTGGTTCAGAAATCGCCCAGAGAATGTTTGGGGAAGTGAGCAAGACAGGTGTAGGTGGTAGTGAAGCAGCGTTCAAAAGGGAAGCAGTAAGTGGGACCCAGTAAATAACCCAGAGTTATTTACTGGGCACCTTCTGGCCACTGAACCAGGACCTTGCGGTGGATACAGGATTTTCCCAGTCATCAGGGAAAAGTCAGCCCAATTCATCAGGACACACGTTTAGGCATCCGTTGAACCTAAAACGTAATCATGGAGTCTATTTTTGTGTAGCCTTGAGGGTTCCAAAATCAAATTATCCTGCAAACTCACTAACCATTCACCAGAGAGTAATCTCCCCAGTTACCTTTCCTCAACGCCCTCTAACCTTGTATTATATGATGTGATGGTGTGCTGGAATGAGTATTAACAGGCTGAGAGGTATCGGAAGGTATAAAGCCTTTTAGGTGGGAATACGCTTCAGGAAGTGCAAAGCCCCTGAGATGGTGAAGAGGAGATTGAATTGAGAAGACCAGCAGAGAAAGGCAGGGTCAGATTATTTAGGGCCTTGAAGGCCAAACTCTCAAGTTTGGATTTTATTCTAAGTGTGATTGGAAGTCCATGGGAAATTTTAAGCAAGAGAATAATTAGATTTGATTAGAATTTTTAAAAGATTGTTTTAATAACTATGAAGAGAATGGACGCTTTGGAGGCCAGGATAGAAGTGAGGAGACCAGTTAGGAGGCCACTTCAAGGAGTCAAAGAGAAAAGTGTTCAGTCACCGTCTGTTTGGATAGTCCCAATGTTGGAAAATTCTCTGTTTAAAAGGTAGCTCATTCCATAGTGGGACCATAAACTTCTTCCTTTATATTGATTGAGCTGGAAACTGCCTCCCTGAAGCTTGCACTGACTTTTACTAATCCTATAGCAAGACAAAAAGAATCTACTTCCATTTTCTCCAAAACATTCCAGCAGCAATTTTAAGGAACTTCTCCTATCCTCTTTTCTCTAGACCAAATTCCTTTGGTTAACTGAGCTGTTTTCTGCAGGAGGTACTCTCTAGGACCTTCAGAAATGTTGTTTCTTGGAAACTCTATTGTTTGTTATGGCTCCTTAAAGTGTGGCCACTAGCACTGCACCTAATGTTCTACATGTCACCTGACCTGTTTGGATAACCAAGGAATCATGCACTCCCTTGATCTGGCTGACTTCTAATGTGGCTTTTAGCAGTCATGTTGTGCCGTTGGCTCACATATTGAGTTGTTTGAAACCATGTTTCACCTCCGATTCCCCATCCTGTATGTCTGTGTTTTTCCTAATCTAAATTTAGGCTTTTACATTTATTTCTATTTTATCTTGGTAAATTTCATATTGCTCATTATTCCAGTTTAATGAGCTGTTTTTCATCCTGATTCTGTCATTCAAGGTGTCCTTCTAGCTTTGTGCCTTTTATAAATGCATTGTTATGTCCTCTAATATTTGCATAATAAACACTGCTAACAATGCTAACTGCATCCAAAAAAGAACCCTATGCCATTTCAATAGTGTCTTCTTATCAGATGTCATGGGACTGTTAGTGTGTAGTGGTGTATAGTCTTTGACTAAGATTGTTTAGCCCATTATGATCCCATTAATTTGTTAAAACAATCTCACAAGGATAGTATGCAAAAGTTTACTTTTTATTTTTGCATTTTTGCAGAAATCAAGATACAGTGGCACCTGCTGATCTGTTAGTCTATCAAGTCACCGAGGTTAGTTTGGCGCAATTTAATTTTGGAACAATCTATGGTGGTTTCTTTTAGTTTTACTAAAATGAAGATTTGCTGTGTTTTAAAATACAAAGACTGACTCATATAAGGTAAAAGTAACTTTAGACAATAAACTCTTCTTGAGCTTAAAAAATTTTTCTTTTTCAAAGCAGAAATCCTTAGACAGTGATTCTCAACCTGGGGCAGTTTTGCTCCCCAGGGGACATTTGACAATGTTTAGAGATAGTTTTTGATTGTCACAACTTGGAGGAGGATGATATTAGCATTTAATGAGTGATGTACTAAACATCTTATAGTGCACATACCAACACCCCTCAATAAAGACTTATCTGGCTCAAACTGTTAGTAGTGCTGAGGTTGAGAAACTCTGCATTAGCAATGCCTTAAAGTATTCTTTCTTGCAGTGACTACTATTCTATTTAAAATGGGTGTAAAGAAGAAGAAAGGAACACAACTTACTGCGTTGACCATTTGTCATCAGGACGTTGAAACTTTGAGATGTGAGTTCTGATTTCACTTATTTACTATATTTTCTAGTTTGTAAGTTGAGTATTTTAATCTGTGGGACCCCATAGCACATAATGTTCTAACGCTTCCTATTTAATTTTTCCATGTTTCTTACAGTCAGTTTTGGATGTAAGATGGTTTTTTAAAAATTCTATCGTCAGACTAAGTTCTACCTGGTTTTTTTTTTTCTTTTTTGGTTTATAATCTTAAAAATTTTGTAGAATGCATAACAAATGCAAACTCATATTCATATATTGTTAAATCATTGAATAATTTTTTTTGTGTGTGTGTTATGTATAGTGTCTGCTGATGTGGAAGGGAAAAATCTAGCTTCTTTGCTCTTACGTTGTGTACAACTCACGGATGGAGTGTCACAAATCCAGTGTGTTAAACAGGTAAGCCTGAGTTGATATTCATGGGTACATCTAGAAGATTATCATGCTATTAGGGATTTTAAGAAATAACTGACAATTTGGATCTCAATTTAATATCAATTTATTAATGAAGAATAGGTGTTTTTTTTTCTTCTCATTGCATAAGATCCTTTTATTCAAAGCAGCAATAGAAGCCATATTCAGGCTTTTACCATGATTGTAACTGTAAATAGATAGGAGATAATTGTGTATGTATTTTTTTTTGTGGAGATAAATTTTAAAAGATTGTTTCTATTAATCTAAATCTTCAGAACTTTTTAGCAGATACATTTAAAAGTTAATTTAAAATATAAAGATTATCCTTATTAGTATTTTAATATTAGGATTTACTGTTTAAGTGTGTATGATACTTATTAGGAAAGCAATTAAATATAGTACAGGTTTTTAAATAGTGCTACAGATGTTTTATACCTTAAGCTGCTAATAGGTCTGTGATTCTCAGTGGAGGTGGGTCTAGAGGGTAAAGAGGGTATTGGGGACATGGGTTAAAAAAGTTAATAAATAGTGAAATAGGTGTTTAAATCAGTGTCCCTAACAGTGCAGTGTGGAAAACATTTCACATTATAATTAAGACTTAAAAGAGTATTTGTAACCATGTTACTTTAGTAGACTTGCTATTATAAAAAATTACTTTGAATTTTTTTGATTATAGATTGTGCCTTTACTGGAGAAAGTAAATAAAAATGGCCTGTGTGATCCCACTATTGAAAGTTCTTTGGATATTATAGCGAGCATTTATCTTTCTTTGAGTCTAAAGAATCCCTTGAAGAAAGTATTGGCAAGGTAAGAAAGGAAGGAAAGTTGGGTGTGATTAATGTCAAATTTGACCAAAAGTAATCACACCATCCTTGGTTTGATAAAACTGAACTAAAAATTTCATTCATAGGGTTTCTTCTTTATTTTGTTTGTTTGATTAATTGGTTTCAACTCTTTAAAACTGTAAAAAGCCTTCTTAGGTTACAGGCATTAGAGGCTGTAGGGTTTAGTCTGTGGGCTCTAGTTTGATTACTCCTGGCTCAGTCCATTTATGTTTATTGGTTATGTTTAAATCTGTCATCTTGTTATTTTTTTCTCTCTTTGTCCTATCTATTCTTGGTTTAAATATGTAATTATACGGATAATACAGGACTATATGCTTGATGTAAAAATGTCAAGCAATATAGAAGTACACAAAATAAAAAATGAGGCTTCTATTTCACTCTTTCTGGCTTATGACTTGATAAAGGTTGTCACTTAACATTTTGGTATCTATTTAATATCTTTCTAGCCTTTTTAAAAAATTTATTTTTATTTCAGCATATTATGGGGGCACAAATGTTAAGGTTACGTATATTGCCCATGTCCCCCCTCCCTCCTTTCTAGGCTTTTCTTTGGGTTCAGCATATGTGTGTTATATTTTATTTTTTATTTTTTTTATAAATGGGATTACATTCTACATAATGCTCCGTGGCTTGTTCTTTTACTAAAGAATGTCTCAGAGGTTGATATGTTTAAATCCAGAGTCTGGGTAGTTTTATATTCTTATAGATTGATGGAAAGAGTATAGAAGAGATTATTTGATTCAACACACACACACAAATACTAAAATGAATACTAGTAAAAATTTAAAAGCTTTAAGAAGAACCCAGGCTGAATGCGGTGGCTTACCCTTGTAATCCTAGCACTTTGCGGAGGCTGAGGTGGGAGGATTGCTTAAAGCCAAGAGTTTGAGACCAGCATGAACAACATAGTGACTCTGTCTCTACAATAAGTACAAAAATTAGCTAGGTGTGGTAGCGTGCACTTGTAGTCCAGCTACTTGGTAGACAGAGGCAGGAGGACGACTTGAGCCCAGGAGTTTGAGGTTGCTGTGAGTTATGTTTTTATTTTTTTTGAGACAGAGTCTCACTCTATTGCTCGGGCTAGAGTGAGTGCCGTGACGTCAGCCTAGCTCACAGCAACCCAACTCTGGGCCAGGTGACCTCTGCCTTCAGCCTCCGACAAGGAGACTGGACTACAGACTGGGCCACCCATGCCCGAGCATAATTTTTGTATAATATATTTAGTTGTCATATTAGTTTCTTATCTATTTTTAGTAGAGGTGGGGTCTTGCTCAGGTTGGTTTCGAACTCCTGACCTTGAGCAATCCACCCGCCTCAGCCTCCTAGAGTGCTAGGATTACAGGCATGAGCCACCGTGCCTGGCCTACTGTGTGAGTTACGATGACACCACTGCACTCTAGACCAGGCAACAGAGTGAGACCTTGTCTCAAAAAAAAAAAAAAAAAAAACACCAAACAAGAATACTTAAAGATATTCATGTTCCTGTTTAGTATACCTTTTTTTCTTTTGTAAAAATTGTGCTAAAAACCACATAATGTAAAATTTATCATTTTAACCATTTTTAAATATAGTTCTATAGTGGTAGTATATTTCATCATTGTGCAGTGATCTCAAGAACGTTTCATCTTGCAGACTGAAACTTTATACCTGTTAACACCTCTTCCTCTAGCACCTGGCAACCATCATTCTATTTTTGTTTCTATAATTGATTACTTTAGATACCTTATATAAGAGGAATATTTATATTTGTATTTTTGTGACTGACTTAACTTCACTTGATTTCTCAAGATTCATCCATATGTAGCATATGACAGGATTTTCTTCTTTGTAAGGCTGAATAATATTCCATTGTATGTATATACCATATTTAGTTCATCCCTTATCCTTTGATGGACATTTGGGTTGATTCTACCTCTTGTCTATTGTGAATAATGCTGCTATGTGCAAATATCTCTTCAAAACTCTGCTTTAGTTCTTTTGGAAATATACTAGAGGGGTTGCCAGATCATAGGGTAATTCTATTTTTGGTTTTTTGAGAAACTGCCATACTATTTTCTGTAATGCAATATTTCACATTCCCAGAAGCAATCCTTATTCTTTCTAACAGTTATAATATTCCGTTATATGGATGTACCAAAATTTATATATACCATATATGTAGATATATGGTACGTATTACATGACTCATATTACATGGTTTATTTAATTACTTCCCCATTGATATTTAGTTTATTTTCAGGTTTTCCTTATTCTGGCAATACTGCAATGATATTCTTTTTTTTTACTTCAGCATATTATGGGGGTACAAACATTAAGGTTATATATATTGCCCTGCCCCTCCCCCAAGGGTTAGAGCTTTAAGTGTATCCATCCCCCAGATGGTGTGCGTAGCACTCATTATGTATGTATATACCCATCCCCTCCTGCACCCTCCCACCTGCCCGATGCCCAATAAATGTTATTCCTATATGTCCACTTAGGTGTTGATCAGTGAAACGAATTTGATGGTGAGTATATGTGGTGCTTATTTTTCCATTCTTGGGATACTTCACTTAGTAGAATGGGTTCCAGCTCTATCCAGGAAAATACAAGAGGTGCTATATCACCATTGTTTCTTATAGCTAAATAGTACTACATGGTATACGTATACCACATTTTATTAAGCCACTCATGTATTGATGGGCACTTCCATTGTTTCCACATCTTTGCAATTGTGAATTATGCTGCTATAACATTCTGTCTGTTTGCTCTCATGGCAGTTTCTTTGGGTGTGCAGAAGCCTTTTAATTTGTCAGGTCCCATGCAGGTGTCCTTTTTATAAAGTGACTTTTGTTCTTTTGTGTAGATGCCCAGTAATGGGATGCTGGATCAAATGGTAGATCTACTTGTATCGCTTTAAGGTATCTCCATATTGCTTTCCATAGAGGTTGAACTAGTTTGTAGTCCTACCAGCAATGTAGAGTGTTCCTATCTCTCCACATCCATGCTAACATTTATTGTTTTGGGACTTGTTAATAAAGGCCATTCTCATTGGAGTTAAGTGATACCTCATTGTGGTTTTATTTGTATTTCCCTGATGATTAGAAGTGTGAGCATTTTCATATGTTTGTTGGCCATTATTCTGTCTTCTTTTGGAAAGTTTCTGTTCGTGTCTTTTGCCCACTTTTTGATAGGGTTGTTTGATTTTTTTTCTTGCTGATTTCCTAAGTTTGTAAATAATTCTATTATCGAGCCCTTTATGGGATGTGTACGCTTTGTGAAAATTTTCTCCCATTCTGTAGGTCAGGAATCCTTAAACTATGGCCCAAGGGCCACATGTGGGTGTTTTTGCCCGTTTGTTTTTTTTACTTCAAAATAAATATGTGCAGTGTGCATAGGATTTGTTCATAGTTTTTTACTATATCCGCCCCTCCAACGGTCTGAGGAACAGTGAACTGGCCCCCTGTTAAAAATTGAGATTTTGCATAGGTTGTCTGTTTGCTCTCGTGTCAGTTTCTTTGGCTGTGCAGAAGCCTTTTAATTTGATCAGGCCATTTATTTATTTTTGTTGATGCTATGATTTTGCCTTTTGGGTCGTCTTTCATAAATTCTTTCCTAGGCCAATGTCAGAAGAAGTATTTCCAACGTTTTCCTCTAGAATTCTAATAGTTTCACACTATTTAGTTTTAATCTGTTTACCAGCGTGAGTTGATTTTTGTGAGAAGTGAAAGTGTGGAATTCCTATTTGAGTCTTCTACAAGGGCTCTCCAGTTTTCCGACACCATTTTTGAATAAGATCTTTTCCCAGTTTTTTGTTTTGTCTGCTTTGTCAAAGATTAGATGCTATATGAGATGTTTTTTTATATCTGGTTCTTTGTTCCTGTTTCCACTGTCTTGTCCAACCAACAAAAGCTGGTATTTTTTTTTTTGAGACAGATTCTCACACCCCAGCTGCTGTGGCATCAGCCAAAGTTCAGCACACTCAAACTCCTGGGCTTAAGCAATCCTTTTGCCTCAGCCTCATGAGTAGCTTGGGACGACAGGCCACTGCAATCGGCATTGCCGCGGCTTAATTTTTTTTTTCCTATATATTTTTAGTTGTCCAATTAATTTCTTTCTATTTTTAGTAGAGACGGGGTCTCGATCTTGCTCAGTTTCGTTTCGAATTCCTGACCTCAAGGGATCTGCCTGCCTCGGCCTCCCTGAGTGCTAGAATTATAGGCATGAGCCACTGTGCCCAGGCCCAAGCTGTTTTAATTACCATAGCCTTGTAGTATAGTTTGAAGTCTGGTAAATTGATATCTCCCATTTTATTTTTATTGCCTGGGATTACTTTTGCTATACAGGGTCTTCTCTGGTTCCATACAACCAAGTGGGCTTTATCCCAGAGATGCAGGATGGTTCAGCATATGCATATCTATAAATGCAATTCACCACATAAACAGAAGCAAAAACAAAGACTGTATGATCCTCTCAATAGATACAGAAAAAGCATTTGACAAAATTCAAGACCCTTTTATGATAAGAATGCTTAACAAAATAGGCATAGACGGGGGTTACCTAAAAATGATATAAGCCATATATGACAAACGCACAGCCAACATCATACTGAATGGGGAAAATTTGAAAGCATTCCCACTTAGAACTAGAACAAGGCAAGGTTGCCCACTATCTCCACTTCTATTCAGCATAGTGCTGGAAGTCCTTGCTATAGCAATCAGACAAGAGAACGGAATTAAAGGTGTCCAAATGGGGGCAGAAGAGATTAAACTCTCACTTTTTGCTGATGATATGATACTATATCTAGAAAGCCCCAAGGATTCAACCAAGAGACTCCTGGAATTGATAAATGGATTCAGTAAAGTCTCAGGATACAAAATCAATACACACAAATCAGAGGCATTCGTATATGTAAATAACAGTCAAACTGAGAACCAAATCAAAGACTCAATTCCCTTCAAAATAGCAACAAAGAAAATAAAGTACCTAGGAATATATTTAACTAAGGAGGTAAAAGACCTCTACAGGGAGAACTATGAAACTCTGAGGAAGGAAATAGCAGAGGACATAAACAGGTGGAAGACCATACCATGTTCGTGGGTCAGCAGAATCAACATTGTTAAAATGTCTATACTACCCAAAGTGATCTACAGAGTCAATGCAATCCCTATTAAAATACCATCATCATTTTTCACAGATATATATATTCTTAATCATGTATGTAATTGTATATATGTATTTTTCTGAGATAAATTCCAGGAAGTAGAATTTCTGGACCAAAAGTTATACCTGTTGAAATTTGTGATAGATACTGTTTAATTGTACTCCTCAAAAGCTGTTTCATCACTCTGTAGTGCCTGCACATTGGGAGGCCGAGGCAAGAGGTTCATTTGAGCCCAGGAGTTCAAGACCAGCCTGCGTATCATAGTGAGATCCCGTTTCCACAAAAAATAAAAAAAGTTAGCCAGGTGTGGTGGTATGCGCCTATAGTCGTAGCTACTTGGGAAGCCAAGGTAGGAGGATCCCTTGAGCCCAGGAGTTTGAGGCTGCAGTCAGCTGTTATTGTGCCATCGCACCTCAGTTTGGACAACAGTTCAAGACTCACGAAGGGAAAAAAAAGCTCCTCAAGTTTACACTTCTACCATCAGTGAATGAGAGTACATGTTTCTTTCTTTCTTTTTTTTTTTTTTTTGAGGCAGAGTTTCATTCTGTTCCCCAAATTAGAGTGCTGTGGCGTCAGCCTAGCTCACAGCAACCTCAAACTCCTGGGCTCATGGAATCCTACTGCCTCAACCTCCTGAGTAGCTGGGACTACAGGCATGCACCAACCATGCCTGGCTAATTTTTTCTATATAGTTTTAGTTGTCCAGCTAATTTCTTTCTATTTTTTCAGTAGAGATGGGGTCTTGCTCTCGCTCAGGCTGGTCTCAAACTCCTGAGCTCAAACAATCCGTCCACCTCAACCTCCCGGAGTGGTAGGATTACAGGCATGAGCCACCATGCCCAGCCAAGAGTACATGTTTCTTTGTATTTTTCCAACACTGGATAATAGCAATCTTTAAATTTTTAAAAATCAGATGGGTGAAAACGTTATCTTGTTATAGTTTGCATTTCCCAGATTTCTGGTGTGATTAAACATTTTTCAGTGTGTGGAGTTTGACTTTTTTTTGTCATTGCATATCCTTTGTACATTTTTTCGTTAGAATATTTTCTTGACTTAGAAGAGCTCTGTATAGATTATATGCCAAACATAGTTCTTTGTTACTTTAAACTTTCTTCATGGTGTCTTGTCTATAAAACTTAAAAAATTATTTTTTGTTATTAACTCAGCTAATTTTTTCTTTGTGTAGATTTCTGAGTTTCATACTTTGCTTATGTATGTATTCTCTAATACAATATTAAAAAAATTTTTGCTTGTTTGATAGTACTTTTTTTTGATTAACTTTTAAATCCATCTGGAATTAAGTTTTGAATGTAGTGTGAGGTAGAGATTCAACTTAATTTTCTTTTCCATATGGGGAGCTACTTGTCTCTAAACTTTTGAATAATCCATCTTTCCCTACATATTTTGAATGCCACCTTACTGTATTATATGTGCCTATATAAACATGGGTTCAGTGTTAGACTTGAGTGTATTTGTTAATACATTATCACTACACTTCTATTTACTATAGTTTGATAATGTGATATAATGTAAAAAGATAGATCACCCCTTTAGTGACTCTTCTTTTTCAGAATATTCCTATTTTTGAATTTTTTTCTTCCAAAATAGTTTTGAATTGTTCAAATTTCAAAAAAAAAAGCCTATTGGTTTTGATTTAGACTAATTGAGGTAAAATTGACACATGCTTAATTTATCCCTTCAATAACTCTGTATTGACTGCTTACTGTGTTTCAAGCACTCTTCTAGGAATTGAAGATACAATGAATAAATTGGTCTAAAAGGGAGATTCTAGACTGAAGGTTCTGTGGGAAGATAGAAAACAAAATAAATAAGCAACATACGTGGGATATTAGATGGCATGAGTGCTATGGAGAAAACTAAAGTGGAAAGGGAGGACCAAGGATGGTGTGAGGGTTATAATTTACAATATGGTGGGCATTTCAGATAGCTTTGCTCAAATGTGAGATTGACCTGAAAGAGGTGAAGCAATGATTGTTGGATATATTTGAGGAAAGAGTGTTCTGGGTGGAGGAAATTGCTATGGCTGCTCTGTTGAGAACAGTGTTAAGAGAGGAGGGAGGTAAGATGGAATTCCAGCAGGGAGACCAGATGAGAGATGATAGGCCAGGAAATTCTAGTGATGGTAGTGTGAAGTTGTACTTTTCTGGCTATATTTTGAAGGTTAAGTTCAATATTCCTACATTTTGTATGATTCTCTTCCCTCCCCACATATCCTGGTGCTACTAGGTTTAATATTTGGTTCTTTTTCTAGCTCACTGAATGAACTACCTGAATTTTATCTAAGCAAGGCTATACACAGTTTTACTACTCGTCTTCAGGAAGAATTGAATACTACTGATTTATACTCTTATAGGAAAGTAATTGACAATATATCTTCCTGTGTGGAGAACTTTAAGTTGGGTAAGCTAGTACTTTTCTAGTAGTTTTTTTGGCTAACACTTGTCATTACATCATTGTTTTTATTTTTATTTTTTATTTTATTTATTTATTTTTTGAGATTTTTATGTGTTTATTTATTTTTTATTTCAGAACATTACGGGGGTACAAATGTTTAGGTTACAGTTATACCCTTTGCACTACCCGGGTCAGAGGTATAAGCATGCCCATCCCCCAGATAGTGCACACAACACCCATTAGGTGTGAATGTACCCATCCCCTCCACATCATTGTTTTTAAATGATATTAATTTTGGTCCTGAAACTCTTTACCAGTGTTCATTTTTTCCCCTATAGGTAGAGCAAGTATTAATAATCTGCTTAAAAATGGTAAGTCCTATTTTGTTCTGTGAGGTGACTGCTCATATAAGTCATTTTGAAACTGGCTCTTTTTAAAATTTTTGGCAATAGGTGGAGTACTACAGATAATTAAGGTGCATTGGGCTCCTTCCTTTTAAATTTCTACTTTTGTATTATGATATCCTTTTAGGTAGCAGTGATTTAAAATGTTTTCTTATGTTAAAGTTAAAACTCACAGTTTTAAATTCTAGCTTGTTATTATATTTTTTGTTTCAGTGCTTCATTTTCTGCAGAAGAGTTTAATTGAAATCCTGGAAGAAAACAGGCAAGTACTAAATGTTTGCATCCTTGTGCATGTGTGTGTGTACATTTGTTGTTGTGTGTTGTTCAAAGTAAATTTTAAGAAGGGTCTCAGAATGACTCTTTTCATCCCTCTCCATTAATAGTAGACCTTACTATTTAAATTTATTTTTAGAGGCTTGATATTTAAATTTAATAAATAACAAAATGTTTTAATATATAAAATTTAAATATTTAGGTAACATATTAAAAATTTAATAAATTATTATGAATATTAGAACGATTTTCCACACCTCTAAATGTTCCTTTTTCATAGCATCCTGTTTTCATATCATGGGTGAAGTATCCTTTGTTATCTGGGGATATTAGTGATAATTCTTCATAGTCTATTTCTTCTACATTGCTTTCTCTTTATTATTTTTTTTGTGGCCATAGCTCCCGGAGCAGCCATTTTGCAGGGCCAGGTGGCCCAGAATTCTTATTCTTTTAAACCGGCTTGTAGTCAGTTTTCCTGTTTTCAGACCTACATTAACTTCCAAATCAAGGAGTACCTTGTGCCAGCTGTTTCTGAGCCTTTCGGGGCTACAAATCAGGTTGTTTTGGGGCTTGTTCTCTGGCTTTAGTATTTGCCTTTCTTGATTCTGCTGAGTCAGTTATTAGTCATCCATCTGCTTTGCAGCTCCTAAAATAATATTATTATTGTCTTGTTGCTTGTTTGCTGCCCTTAAGTATTTATTATCTTTTTGTGTTTTAAATCCCATGGCTGTTGGTTTAGGGAGGTTGTGGGAGGGAGAAGTATTAATAATACCTGCATGCCATATTTCATTCAAGATGTCCTTTGTCTCACCAGGAGCTCTTCCTCTGTCTCCTTTTAGGCTCTTCTTTCTCTGCTCATTTCTTAAATGTGTGTTCTATCCTTTTTATTCTATTTGTTCTGACTGCTTTATATCATTCGCTTGAAAGCTGTCAGCTACCACCTATACACTCAGGATTTCCAAATTTATCACTCCGAGTTAAGATATCTTTCCTGAATAGTAGATTCATGTAGTTAGTTTTCTTTACACATTTCATCTTGGATGTTTTACAGGTGCCTCAAATTCAGTGTGTCCAAAAGAAAATTCATTGTTTTAATCCTTCCCCATATCCCCTGATAACCTCTATTCTACTTTATATCTCTTTGAATTTGCCAAGTCTAGGTACTTATATGAATGGAATCATACAATATTTGTCCTTTTGTGTCAGGTTTATTTCTCTTATGTTTTCAAGGTTCATCTATGTATCAGAATTTCATTTTTGTATGGCTAAAGAATATTCCATTATATGTATATGCCACATTTTATTTATCTATTTATCTGTTGATGGACATTTGGGCTGTTTCTCCCTTTTGGCTGTTGTGAATAATGTTACTATAAACATTGGTGTATAAGTATTAATATCTATTTAGGTCTCTACTTTCATTTGTTTTGGCTGTACACCCTAGGACTAGAATTGCTGGATCATTTGGTAATTCTATGTTTAACTTTTTGAAGAACTGCCAAACTATTTTTCCTGACTAATGCTTTAATAGGGTCACTCTGTGTTTTTCTATATGTAGAATACACTGAGAGAGGCAAGGATAGAAACAGGAAGACCAATGAGGAGGCTATTGCAGTAATCCTAGGGAGAGATGAGAGTGGCTCAGGTGAAGATGGTAGCAGTGGAGGTGGTCAGACTCTAGATATATTTTGAAGGTAGAACCAATAGGATTTTCTTACAGATGGGATGAAGAGGAAAGGAGGCAAGGATGATTACAATATTTTAGGTTTGGAGTTAAAGATAAGTTCACATATTTATTTACAATTTAAAATGTATGAGCTAGAAGAGATTACCATCAAGGGAGAGAATTAAATGGAAAAATTAAGAAGACTGAGGGCTGAGTGCTGGGGAGTGCTGCCACAGAGAGATCAGGGAGAAGAGCATGAACTAGTCAAGGTGTCTGGGAAGGAGCACTGGTGAAGTAGGAAGAAAATCTAGGAGAGTCTGTCATCTTGGATGCCAGGTAAAGAAAGTTTACCAAGGTTGAGGGAGTGTTCAGGTTTGTAAATTCTGTCATTTGTTCTTGATTTCTGATCTATGTCCTAAAAAAGAGAAGTGAAGTTAGTCATTGGCTGAGAAAGAGGAACATGTTGAGGTAAGTTAAGAGTGTTGGAAGTTCACAATAAATGTTTACCTAGTTGGGATGTTTATGGGAATGGAAGAAAAAAGTATAAATACTATAATCTAAAATTGATTTTGGCCTTTTGAGCAATGTACTTAATCTTCACACATTGAGGTAGAAATGTTGACACTTTTATTTGAATTTCTTTTTGTAATAATATCTTTTCTTTGTAGAAAATTTGCTGGAAATCATATTGTTCAAACACGGTTGATGAATGACTTGTTAGTAGGCATAAGAGTTTCAATGGTGTTAGTACAGAAAGTACAAGGTTTCCAGGGAAATCTTTGGAAGTCTTCCAGTTCTCCCATATGGCAAAGTATGTGTGGATTGCTGAGTATCTTCACAAAGTTTTTAAGTGATGGTAAGTGTAACAACATATAACATTAGCTTTTCCTAATAATGGCATAAAATACAATAATTAACTCAGATGTGGAATATCTCTTCTTTTAGCCTTTCAAAGTGAGGGAAGGCCATGGATTACATGATTTTAATGCTTTTTGCTTTCAAATGTACCAATTCAGCAAGGGATAATGTTGAAGGACTTTCCTAAGTTTGTGTGTGTGTGTTGTATTGTGTATGAAGAAGAAAACCTAATAATCTTAGTGTTGAAAAGCCACAGACTTCAAATAGCTAAAGAGAATTCTTTAGAAGAAATTTCCAGATTTAGAGGGAAGATCTGGAAGGACTAGGATAGCCCATACATTTCTCCTTATCAGTAGGTGTTATCTTCAGATAATTACAGTAGTTGCTGATTGTGGTCCTGGTCAGTATTCCTCCTTGTATTTCATTTGTTGCTGCTATCCATATGAACTGTACCACTAGGAAACCAAATAGTAAATGAGAGGAAATGTCTCTCTATAAAAGTATTTCAACTAATAAATTAAAATGAGATGATAGAATATCAATGTTTTGTAACTCGCAATGAATTGATAGAGTCACTAAACATCAACAATTGCTAACATTACAGAAACAGAAAACCAGACAACATGTACCTCTTAGAGTCTTGCTGTTACTACCTATAGTCTTTCCAAAGAAATCAAACTTGAGACTAATCTTGTTTCTAGGTTAGCTGCTAATTTGCAGAAATTATGGAGGACAGAGGAATACTGCATCAGGAATAAGCACACATGACATCCGTATCTAGGAAACTCTACACGTCAAATGTCCAGAGTTCTTCAACAGAGAAATTGTAATGAAAAGAAAGGGATGAGGGGGTACTTATAGATTAAAAGATACTTAAAAGCCATTACATGTTAAAAAATGATCAAGGCAATTATAGTGTCTAAGGATGAACATTTGATTGATAAAACTGTTAAAGAAATATAAGGAAGTCATTACTATGAAAGTCAGGGTAGTTGCTTGCTCAGTGAGAAGTGGGGATTTCATTGAGATGAGGCAATTGGATGAGCCTCAGGGTTGCGTGGCTGAGTTTTATTTTATCTTAGATAGTGGTACAAGAATGATTGTCTTCTCATAGTTTAAATTAGCTAATTTGTTTGCATTGTTTTTTTTTTGTTGTGTTTTTGAGTACAGAGTCTGATATTGTTAGCAGACTCGCGTGAGTGGCTGGCATCAGCTGCATCACACAACAACCCTGATCGAGTGACTTCTGCCTCAGCTCCAGGGTAGCTGGATAACAATCGCCACCTCCGGCTAATTTTTAATTTATCAGTGCCAATAATTTTTTATTTAAGTAAACGGGGTTCGCTCTTTTCAGGCTTGGTTTCGAACTCCTGACCTTGAGCAATCCACCCGCCTCAGCCTCCTAGAGTGCTAGGATTACAGGCATGAGCCACCGTGCCTGGCCTACTGTGTGAGTTACGATGACACCACTGCACTCTAGACCAGGCAACAGAGTGAGACCTTGTCTCAAAAAAACAAAAAAAACACCAAACAAAGAATATCTTAAAGATATTTCCATGTTAGTATAATCCTTTTTTTCTTTTTGTTAAAAAATTGTTTTAAAAATATATATATATATTTATATAATCCTTTTTTTCTTTTTGTGAAAAAATTGTGCTAAAAACCACATAATGTAAAATTTATCATTTTAACCATTTTTAAATATAGTTCTATAGTGGTAAGTATATTTCATCATTGTGCAGTGGATCTCAAGAACGTTTTCATCTTGCAGAACTGAAACTTTATACCTGTTAACACCTCTTTCCTCTAGCACCTGGCAACCATCATTCTATTTTTTGTTTCTATAAATTTGATTACTTTAGATACCTTATATAAGAGGAATATTTATATTTGTATTTTTGTGACTGACTTAACTTCACTTGATGTTCTCAAGATTCATCCATATGGTAGCATATGACAGGATTTTCTTCCTTTGTAAGGCTGAATAATATTCCATTGTATGTATATACCATATTTAGTTCATCCCTTATCCTTTGATGGACATTTGGGTTGATTCTACCTCTTGTCTATTGTGAATAATGCTGCTATGTGCAAATATCTCTTCAAAACTCTGCTTTTAGTTCTTTTGGAAATATATCTAGAGGTGGGTTTGCCAGATCATAGGGTAATTCTATTTTTGGTTTTTTGAGAAACTGCCATACTATTTTCTGTAATGCAATATTTCACATTCCCAGAAGCAATTCTTTTTTGGTTTGTAATCTTAAAAATTTTGTAGAGACTCTTTTGAGCAATGTGCTTAATCTTCACACATTTGAATGTAGAAATTTGACACTTTTAATTGATATCTTTTTGTAATAAGAAATATTTTTCTTTGTAGAAAATTCTGGTGAAATCATATTGTTCAACACGGTTGAATGAATGATTGTTAGTAGGCATAAGAGTTTCATGTGTTAAGTACAGAACAGTACAACAGGTTTCCAATGGAAAATTCTTTGGAATCCTTCCAGTTCTTCCCAATATGGTCAAAGTATGTGTGGCATTGCGAGTATCTTCCAAGAGTTTTTTAGTCGAGGTAAGGTTAACAACATTAACATTAGCTTTTCCTAATAATGGCTAAAATACATAATTAACTCAAGATGTGGAATATCTCTTTTTTAGCTTTCAAAGTGAGGAAGCCATGGATTACATGATTTAATCTTTTTGCTTTCAAATGTAACCTATTCAGAAGGATAATTGAAGGACTTTCTAAGTTTGGGTGTTTTGGTGTATTGTGTATGAAGAAGAAAACCTATTGTTAATAATCTTAGTGTTGAAAAGCCACCAGACTTCAAAATAGCTAAAGGAGAATTCTTTAGAAGAATTTCCAGATTAACGAGGAGATCTGAAGACTAGGAAGCCTCATACATTCTCCTTAATTCAGTAGGTGTTATCTTAGATAATTACAGTAGTTGCTGATTGGTGTCCTGTCAGTAATCCTCCTTGTATTTCATTTTGTGCGCTATCCTATGACTGTCCACTAGAAACCAAACAGTAAATGAGAGAAATGTCCTTCTCTATAAAAGTATTTCAAACTAATAAATAAAATGAATATAGAATATCATGTTTTTAACTCGCCATGAATTGAAGAGTCACTAAACCTCAACAATTGCTAACATTAAGAAAACAGAAACCAGAACATGTACCTCTTAGAGTCTTGCTGTTATAACCATCATCTTCCAAAGAAACAAACTTTGAGACTAATCTTGTTTCTAGGTTAGTTGTCTATTTGCAGAAATTATGGAGACGGGAATACTGCATCAGAATTAAGCCACACATGACAATCCGTATTAGGAACTCTTACACGTCAAATGTCCAGTTCTTCACGAACGAAATTGTAATGAAAAGAAAGGATGAGGTGTACTGTAAGATTAAAAAAACTTAAAACCCATTACAGTTAAAAAAT